CATCTGTCGAGAATAAGAAAATAATTGCTACGAAAATAACGGGTTCTTCAGTTACTGTGGGTTCATCAAATTAGGTCACAGTGGAGAAGCCCGCTTCAACATGGGAACAGCGTCTGGTGTTAACTTTATAAATGCTTCAAACTGTGTAATTTATGTTAATAAATGGTTTTGAAACTTTCTTTTCTAAAAGTCACTCTTTACCGCACTAGTGCGGTAATTGTTCCTTTACCGCACTTAGTGCGGTAAAAACTACCATTACAACATCAAAGAAAAACCTGTAATCTAGCACATTACACAATGAAAGTAGATAAAAGTGATTTTCACTTACATTGTAGTAACAGATTATTCCACCAAGACAAATAGTAATTGCTCCTAATGCTAGCAATGGAATTAGAATAACTGTTTCTTTTTTATACACATAATAAATTCTGAAATTTCAAATATAATCCTAAATAATACAAAAGAGGCAACGTACTCTCTTATAGACATGTATTTCTCGGCAATAAACAGCAACCTGAGTTTCATAGTACTCTGAAATTGTTCGCAGTATAATAACTCTGCTTCGTTATATTCATCATAGTCATGATTTAAATATTTAATATGATCTCGAAGCAAGTAAATTTGAAACTTGACATGTTGCGTGTAGTACACTGTCGTTAAACATAAATATGTGATAGAGTATAATAGAATTACAAACGAACACAAATAAATGAATTCTAAAGTTCTATAAGAATTCGAAAATGTTTGCTGTGCATATACTAATATGTAGTGAAGCTCCTTTTCCTCTCCCCTCGGTAAAATTACTAGGCAAGTGATGACATGCCAAATGCAACTACAGATCGTAAACATTTTTATCACTTTTGTTTCTTTCAAGATTTGTTTTTGTGTGGACTCTGTGGCCGAGTCCGTGGACCACAAAACTTGAAAGAGGTCGGTTTTAGCGAATAGTCTTAATCTCGAGTCAATTAAGAACATAGCACAGTTATATATTAGAATCTAAAAGAAAAATTTGATAAACATGGATAGTCCCATGATTTATGGGTACGTAATACTAACTCCTGGTATTCCCAACACGAGCATCATATATCTTAAAGATGTCGAATCAAAAACAGCAACACAGTACCCTATAGTCATTAACAATGATAGAGTATGCAACACTACTGAGATTATAATGATTATTTTTATGTATTTATTTCCAAATATATCTAGTGTTATCCATCTTATAAAATTTAGACAGTCATCTACAACCAAGAGCGTCTGTAAACTTCCATATCAGATCAATATCGATTCCACCGACAATACATTGACGGTACTGTAACCCCAAATAAAATTTACATACCTTTCGTCAGCTTTATGTCCTTGAAATACATCGTTTCCAACGCACAGATATACACCTATACTAACTACAATAACTGCGTTGCAGTAAAAGTAATAAGTGCTTCATTAATTATTGTATTATTCAAACCAATAAACATTAATTTCGAAGGGTGAATTTTGGTAAATGCGCATAGTTTCTGTCCTAATTACTGATATCGAATTACGTAGTATTAGTAATTCCTCTAATCTTCTTCAGTTATTACGTTGTTATAAATAATAGGCAAATAAATAGGACTAAAAATGACGTGGTATAATTCGATCAACACAACAAAATTAGTCGACCTTCATAATAAAATGACGAGATGAGTAAATAAGAGGAAAGATGGGTAAGAGTAAACGTCCGCTAAGATTTCGAACTTCATTTTTTGGACATATTAGGCCAGTATGTATATCTCATCGGTAAATTTTAGATTTATCAGTGTACAAACTTTTGGATTATTGTCACAGTTATGGAGGTGCTTGCGATGAAATAAGTATTCTGAAATGCAAAAAGCTAGAGATAACGGGGTTCCAGGGGTTTCATATACACAGTAGCGACAAAATACACCCAAAATTTGTCAGTAACAATCATCATCAGACAAACAAACAGAAAAAGAAAGCTCCAGACCGGCTATTTCATATTTGTGAAGTCGAGAAAACATTAAATTGGTCATTCATCAATCGGATGCTTTTACATTACTTCCCTAGCTTAGTTTTAGAAATGAGTAGACCATTTACTTATTTGAAGGACATACCAACGTTCTTAAAACAACATTAGAAATTCATTATTGTCTACTTTTCTTCTAAAATCGTTTTTAATCCTGCGGCTAAACATTTTAAATACAGAAGCGGCAGTAACGACGAAAGCACTATCAGTTTGTATTTCATTCTTGAATCGGCACACAGTAGATGTGGTTTTTGTGTTAATTAATAAAATAAGCGAAAAACACTTGTTTCAATGTTCCCGAAAAGTTAAGTTTTGAAATTAAAATATAATGTTGTTGCAGATATTTTAAAAAACAATTTCCCCACTGCATGCTATCATCGTGATGTTGATTTTTTCGTACTTACCGTAGATAGTTTTATATTTCTCCACAAGTAATAAATTATAATCTTCAAAAAATATGAAGCGTTTTTTTTTAAGGTAAGGTTTAGGGAAATATAAACTATTATTATTGTCATTGTTACTCGAAGTTGCAGTTGCATCTCTCATTTCCAAATTATTTTGAGCGATACGAGAACCATTTATACTTAACAGTGCGGAAAGAATATAAAAGTAAATAATAATTAATTCTTTTTCAACATGACCTGATACTGTAGATTAGATACATGTGTTGTCTTCCACAGATTTTACTAACAACGGAGTACGACTTTTTGTTTTGTTGCGAGGGAGTTAAAATTTTTTGTGTAATGTAAATGTAAGTTGAGTATAGTAAGATCTAAATAGATATAGACGTCATAAGTCAAAATACGACTGGGTGTGCGTTTAACATTTCATAAAGTATATTATCTATTCAAAGATTTTACTGTATACAGGATGAAATGGCCTACTATCAGTAAAGTGGACTTTTTTGAGCGATCGACTTAGATTGTGTTACAAATTTTTTGTCAAATTTGTGGCGTAAACGAAGTACCCATTTTTAGTGAAAAATACAATTACCTTAAGCCACTACATATTTATGCAGTTTTCCATTAACAAACGTCGCTGTGGTTTTTATCTAACAATACGTACATAATTTTATTTTGCATTGAAAATTCTTATCTCTAAAAACGTTTAGCCTCAAACGACCACGTTATATTAGATATACACAAATGTGGTTATTATAATGAGGAAATATAAATTTAACATTTTAAATTCTAAGGGGAAAATCAATTTTGGACAGACAGTTCGAGGTGACGATACGTAATACCTTAAATTCCTAAAATCATAATAACAATATACTTGTATTTACCGTGAATTACTAATTCTTGCTGCTTAAAGACAGTATATAATTTCCTTCGACACAAACTCAATTCTACAAGAAAAATAATTAGTGTCCAAATTGTACACTTAACATAATCTATTGAGTTTTTGTAAATAGGATTTTTCGATCATTATATATCGACTAAATCCACAAAAAAGACAATGAAAAAGCAAGAGTTTAAGATCTTACTAATTTATTTATATTTTTTTAACTTAAAACAGTCGACGTTTTTATATGTCAAAAAAATATATATATTTTCCCAAATTTTGTAAATAAAGATGTTAGATAACCATTTTTTAATAAAATTTAATAAAACGGTATTTTTTATTTTTGTTTTTTTTTTGTTGATATAAACATTCAACAGTTTCATTTAAATAAGCAGTTAAAATATATTTTTGTTTGTAAATTAGCAAGTGCTTGTTATTTAATAGTCAAGGTTTCTTTAAAAATTTCAAAAATTTTAAAATCTGCAGTTTGCATGGCGAATAGCTCGAACTACTATACTACTCTTCCATAAACATAAAGTGGAATTGTATTCTATATTTTTGGACAATCGGTTTCATTATTTATTTTATGCACCCTTCCAGTTGCTAAACGATCTACTATAAATTGTTCCAATAAAGAATTTGGTGAAATGTATTTCAAATTAAATACATAACGTTTTTAAAATGCAAACCTCAAAAATTTACCTTGCAAACGCTCATACATTAGAATATATTTTGTGTAAAACGGTGACCTAATTATGAATGCGCATCAACCATCACCTAATTTTACTTCACTACATATTTTTTCTACGAAATCATCGACATATAGTAATTGACTAGACTTAAAAATGTCACAAACAATAGGGCTTTCAAAGAGGTACAGGTAGGTATTGTAGATTTAAAAGTTGTTCTAGTCAATATATAGTATACGTCTTGACAAAAAAGTTCAATTAATTCAGTCTGTACCTACTTTATATATTTTTTTAAAATACCAATATATAAGTACTTGTTTTCCTTTATGCAGAGCTTCCAATATAATCAAGAATAAATCACTTACATAAACTTCCTCAAAAATATCCAGTGGATGTAACGATATTTTTAAATATTTAAATATTTATTAAGGCAAAGTGTTTTTAAAAATCCTTGGTAAAATTTGATAACAACGTAAGATCTCCATACTTGTAATATTTTTAGTGACTAAATAATATCAATTAAAATTTATTTATTTCTTCATGACCGTCAGAAAGTTGTCAACTCGAAAATTCATTTAACATACGCATAGAGGTTTAGTAAAATATAGATAGGTATGCCTTGAAGTCAAGTGTTATGGTATTTTGGTAAGTAATTTTAATTTTAAAAATAATGAAATAAAATTGTTTACTTTATAGAAATTTATTAAATAAATATAATACTCAACAAAATCAACATTTTTACAACTTTTTCTAATCTTATAAAAACATACTTTTAAATCCAGGTACAATGGAACACAAAAATTTCTTTATTTTATCATTCAATATGGGCATGCGCGTGTTCAGCTTGTAAGTGAAAACTCAAAAGACGTCATTAGTTCGTGCGTCTGCGTAAATCAAAACTGCATTTGTATTAATTTACATACGAATGCAAATTTTCCAAACTAACTTAAAACGCGACACCAGTTTCAGTTATTGAAATGTATCTTAACACAATGGACCTATTATTTCTAACATTTTTTTGTTTTATAAATGTTGCTGTTACAGTACGCTATAATACTTGTAAACATTATCGAGATTATTTAATTTATGGCCTCAGTAAAAACTGCTATTATGAACCAGACATGGACTTAGAACCGGTAAGTTTTTTTGATAAATTTCATTATTTGGAATTCTAATATACCTATGAAATTATTCTTATAATTTTTTTCCTTTCGTTGTAAATTTACTGGACTAAAATAAATTAAAAAAATTAAATAATATATATATCAGGGCAATAATATTACATTTAATCGAGAAACATAATTTGCAATCTAATATAGTTTCTATACGACGGATTTCTTGTCGTGTCAAGAACGTGCTTGTTTTTATATTTGTAGCGCATCAAGCAAGCATAATTATAATATTCATTACTCATATTAAATCTAATTTTGTCAAATAGTTTTGAGAAATAAAGGACCAAAGTGCGCAGGACAAACGTTTGCTTTTAAATATTTATCTCCAAAATAGGTGCAGTACCGAATAGTTTAGTTGAGAATTTGAAATATTTACATTTAAATGATTAAATAATCGTCAAAATGCAAAAAGCTGTTTCGTTAGGAACACGTCATACTGCTTGTAGGTTCCTTGAACAGTCTAATTATGTTCGGTAGTTACGCCACGCGCTTGGGGATGGGGTAAGATTGGAGAATAATCGCAGACGAATTTATGTGCTATAGTTCCAGGATTTCAAAAGTTTTTTATTAATCTAATCAGTTCATATCATTACTTGATCTTAGTACCCGCAAGTCTGCCTAAATGTCGGTCATTTCCGGGTCACTGGTGGGTCTTAATAATAATAGTAATACCTTTATTGCTCAACAGATTTTTTCATTTAAGAACAGATTAAATTAAGTATAACAATACAAGAAATAATGTGATAAAAATTTTTAAACAAACAATGTGAAAAATACAATCAAGATTCTCTAAAAATAAATAATTATAGTTAAAGAAAAAACTAAAAAACACGTTTTTAATTATATTGTCATCCAAACTACATACTCTTGTCAAGTTTTAAATTGATGCGATAATTAGAACTATTAATTAATTAAAATCGACTTCCTAGATTTGTTTACATAGTTTGTTACAACTGAAGCTAATATAAGCGTGTTAATGAATGCTAGTTACCTTAAGAACAAAAAAAACGAAACAACTACCTACAAATATTTAATTAACTAAGATTTATTAAATTCCAAAATATGTCATCATAGAATTTGTCACCGTATCGGCACACATCAGTAATTAGCGCCTTCCGTAACAAATTACTTTTTTTCACTAGTAGCGTAGAAATACACCATTATCATGCTCATCTGTGAGTTGTAATTTTTTTTTCTCTATCAAAGTCAATAATAATAATTAAATTTGATCAAGGTTAATAATGGAAGTGAAGTTAATCATTATTGATCAAGGTCTATAATAAAGATTGAGGTTATGTAATTGCCAATTGTCAGATTTTTTAAATTACTTTCATGACGGTTGGAAGAGTGCTAACTGCCTTAATATCGTCTCGTGAAGGGTACATAGTTCACTCTCTGATATATTTCCTAAAAAAAATTAATATACATTAATTAACATTTTGAAAGTACAAACCAACATCAAAGCCTAGTTAGGTGATGTCAGTGATACAACATTTAAAATTAAGGTTATTATTAAAATTTTTTAAAGTACGCTAGCAAAATTGATAAAGTGAAGATATTATAAGCACTGATGAAAATATTTGGTACCTGTTTAGCACCTTTTTATTATGTATATTATTAGCTGCAATGTAACCAAATAAATTTAACATAGGTAATTAATTAAAAATTTTCTTAGGACCAACTAATAAAGAAATATACAGGAAATGGTGAAACTCACACAGTGACTACCGAAGATGGTTACATCTTAACCATATTTAGGATAAATCGAAATAACCCTAGAGGTGTCATCTTATTACAACATTCTTTAACCGTTGACTCTAGAGTTTGGATAGGCCAAGGAAAAGAAAAGTCGTTAGGTAAATATTTAAACGAAAAAAATAACAGCATAATTATCCACTTTTAGCATTTTATTTGTGGAATGCCGGTTACGAAATATGGGTAAGCAATTGTCGTGGGACCCAATATTCTCAAAAGCACACAACACTTTCAGTGTCCGATTACCGTTATTGGAATTTTAGGTAAAACTTCTCATCGTTGAAACAAATTTCTGCAACTGTGATTTTTAGTTTTCACGAAATTGGCTTCTATGACCTTCCCAGTCAGATCAACTTAATCAAAAAAGTATCCGGATTTTCTCAGATCATTTATATTGGTCATTCTCAAGGTGCTTCAGCTGGTCTAGTCTATAGTTCGCTTAAACCTGATGAAGCAAAGGAATCTGTAAAATTTTTCATTTTTATGTCAACCCCTTGTTACTATATGCATCAGACAAGTCCAACGAGATATCTGATTCCTTTCGAATCTGCGATAACGGTAACTTGTTAACCGTAGACATTTAAAGACTCAAAATTTTATTTTAGGCGACAGTTAACAATTTAAAATTGGGAAACGCGTTGTTCTTTTTACCTGTTGACAAAATATCAAGGCAGGTATTTCGAAGCTTGCCGTTGACGTTATATCTGGTGAAGTATGCTCTAGCATTTTTCTTTGGATGGGCGCCAAATCAAGCAGACCCGGTTTGTTGTTTAAAATTGTCTATTATTTAGAAATTTACGTGTGTATTTGTAGACTATTCTCAATCTAGATGGTGGAATTTACCTTAAAGAATTTTCCTGGTATCTAATGTTACATTATCTGCAACTAGCAAAAGCTAAAATGAGATTTCAAAGATTTGATTATGGCAAAAGAAGAAATTTGAGATATTATGGTACAGAAAAACCTCCCGCTTATCCTTTGGAACGTGTATCAGTTCCAATATATTTTGTATCTAGTTACCAAGATTCACTGACTAGTTTACAGGTTAATCAGAGGGATAAAATTTTTAACAATTTTCATATGATGTTACAATTACAGGATACTGACTTGTTAATTGAAACCTTAAAGAATACGACTACAATCTACGGGCACTGGAAGGTAAAGGGTTTAAGCCATATGGATTATCATTTTGGACGTCAAAAAAAGGAATTGTTTTATGATCAATTAGTAGAAGTTATCAACAAACATTCAAAACCCGAAAGATAATCTAGAAAATTGACGTATTTAAATGAAATTTGTTAATGAAGATTAATAGACAATTATACGCCAATATTAATGTAAAAATTTCAACACTAAAAAATTTATTTTGGATCAGGATCTCAACTAGACGGGATCTTTGGTGGTTCTTCTTTTAGACACTAAGATCACAGGCTACAACAGTCCAGATAAAAGTAATCGGTTTGGCAAACAGTGTTCCCTTAATTCTATCGTTGCTAACTTTAGTAACTTTATCCGACACTTGATGATCATAGCAGATCACATCTTAAAAAAGATCCTGGTACCTTCGTAGAATTAGTACGGTTTGAGGTTTCTCAGCAACATCACTGGGACATCGATTTTGAACAGAAACTTATGAGGGCAGAGACCAGAACAATTAAATATTGTCATTAATGACGGAACTTTGTCTTTCTTGGATGTTAGAGTGATAGGTTCGCACAACCAATCCTTGTACATTTTCTTGACATTAGAGGTGTCAAATCATATCCTGGTTTTGAATCTACTAGGATTTTTACTTTTCTCTCGTACACAGGGCGCTATTTTGGGGAATTTTCCAGGAGAGGGATAATTTCTTAAATGGAACCTCATATTTATTAAAGGAGAGTTTTTTGCTGTTTTAATTTAACTATAGGGGTAATTTTATAAATTTTCGAAGAAGCTGGATTTGTTAGACTACATTTCAAGGGCAAGGACAATTCTGTCAAAATAATTACCTTGGATCAATGGAATCGATATATATATATATATAGGTTAGAAAATCTTGGACGCCATTTTTCTGTCAGTTAGAAAATTTTAAAGTAGTCTATGATTTATTGTCATTTTGACGTTTCACATTTAAAAAATTTGTAGTAACAACAAGTTCTCCAAGCATTTCGAGTGTATCGCCAGTAATGAAATTGGTGTATAATTTCTAACTTTGTCAGTATAATCGAAACTAAGGATTTAAAGCGCGTCTGTTATAGGACATATGACTTTCCTTTGAGATGGGATACAAAACGATTAGTATTCTCATCATTTAAATTTCAGATCTGGGTGAAAAAATAATTCGATCTTTTAAGCTTGTTTAAAAAATTGTTAAAACTAGTGTAATACAGTGTAATTTTTGTCAATAGTAGAGTAGATACCGCACAAGTCACCATGAAACATCAGAGAAAAATAGGTCAAATTAAAATCTCTCTTTAAAAAGCTGTCTGAAGTAGACTTGTCGCAAAAACGGTAAGATAACAAGGTACCTGAAAGAATGTCAATAAAAGCATTCGCTGAGAAATGAACAAGGAATTTCGTTCGAAGTGGTTAATTAATTGTAACAGTTTATAACAAGCCAGGTAGCCAAAAGTCTGAATCCTTATTCCTTACCGTCTACAAACAGTACTAAAATATTGCATTTATTTCACTCATTCTTCAGAATTTCCGGTTCAAATTTTATTATAAATTTTTTGCAACCAGATAACGAAGTAATATTTTATGTTAAAATATCAGCGCTTTAATTTTATCGCATTTTAATATCCACGGTCACCAAATTTTTATACATTAAGGTATCCATTAGCAAATTTCGATATTGTTTTTACAAACAAGTACATTTATTTTACATTAAAATTCTTATCTCCCAAGCTATTTAGTTCAAAACGACCCCGCTGATGCTAGATATCAACTAAAATGGTTATTATGGTTGTGGTACTTGCAGCAAATTTAAAATACATTTGCATGTTACGAATGGGACAGCATAAATTTAACATTTTGAAATTTAAGTTGGAGAAAAATTTCAGAGAAATAGATAAGTCAAGGTTACGACATCACACGTGATAAATGAAGCATTGCCAGCACATAAAATTGCAACTTTTTATTTAAAAAATTTTGCAAAACAATATAAAATTTGATCTAAAGTTCACTATGCAGTGCATCTTTTTCTAAAAGTGGCCATAGGGATTCTCGTGTTAAATTTTATAACTCATGTTAACTTTTGTTAGACTGAAAATCCATATAATTTGTAAATAAATCCGTTGGTTTTCGCTTGCCAGATAGTGATGTTTTTAAATTTTGGTCCTCTGTTGATAAAATTTTCGCCACAGATGATGTCCCCACCTATGAGAAAAAAATTAAAAGATATTTTATAGCGAATTCTTACATTACAGAAAATATGTTCGAGACCCTCATAGTTACTTCTTCGAAAGAAAGTTCGGGCCTGTCTTTTCGAAACTGCAAAAAACTTTTTTTTGCAATTTTTTGTTGCAGTAAAACTATTTTAGGCATTTTCTTTTTAAATAATGTCGGAATGATCTGTGAATCTGTCACAATGACAAATTATCTATGCTGATAAAATTAAAACATTTGTTTGCTTGATTAAAAAATTGCGTCTAATAATTCTGATCTAATAAATGAAGTAGAAAAGTGGCATTCCAGCTCAAAGCAAATGTCACTCAGACTACTGACAGACGAAAAACTAAATCATCAAATCAGTTTATCCAATTTAAAGAAAAAACATCAAAGCCTACTTTACTATATAAAGATCGTGAATGGATAATATATAGATGCACCTCAGGAATAAAAAACATTTAATTTCATCACACAAACCAATGAGAAGGTGTAAAGACTACAGAATTTACTGTATTCGCATTAAATATTAATTCATATCATTTAGGGCTGATTCAAATATATTAACCATAGAAATAATATTATATGGAAGTAACTTAGAGAGAGACGCGCGTTGTCAACACAGTCGGACAGCGATAGGGCTCTCCGGGTGGCAAAACATTGACGCGAAACTGCAGAGCACTGTGTTTCTGGAGGTTTCTTTCGTGCGGTCGCATGGTGTTTGAACGTGTATTTTTGCAAATTTACGTTTTTCAGGCTAAAATTACCTTAATTAAATGTCTACAGTCTTCTTAAGTTGTATTTTATTGGACTATTTGTTAAAGATTGTGTTGTGCGTATAATTGAACAGAACGTGCAAAGAAAGCAATCCTGTTTCATTTCATAGGTAATAATCGTATACACAGACGAAGGATTTCGTAAACAATTAAAAAAAATTGTTAGATTCACTAAACATTCCGAGTTACGAAAAAAACGGTTTATTGCTACAAAAAGAAGGAATTTTATATCTCTTGATTATTGTTTTATTTATTTGTACGTGGATTTAGAAAATAGATTTTAGTAGAAAATTCCACACAATTTAATAGGTATGTTTAATTTAATTAGGCACCCTGTCACTTTTATCCAAAGTTTAATTACTTTTATTCTAAAAATTTCAGAATTACCAATGAACATACACTACAAGTTACAACATTAGTTAACTTGTAGAAGATTATTGTACTAACTGAATTCGTAATATATTGCAGCTTCTGTATACGTATCATTTAATTAAAAGACTATCTCCACCACTTAACATGATTTTTGTTGTTTCACATTACACGTAATTTTAATGTAAACTGTAAAAATATAGTTTTCATTAACAGACGTTTACTATAATTGATTGTTTGAACAAATTCGTAAGGAAACGTATTAATTCCCGTTCAAATGAAGCGATTCTTGCCACCCAGCACGTGATACGTGGTTAGCCGTCCTTTCCCCACTGATGCATAACCGCTCCAGCTATTTCTTTCTTATGTTGATTACACTCGCAAGCGTATGGAAACGTATACAAAGCTCCATCCACTCCTTTATTAGATCAATGATATTAACCAATTAATTACTAAAGGTCTGCTCAAATCTGGGATGAGAGGTTCCTAAACCTTTGACATTGTGCAGTTTCACCGTGAGATTAAAAAATTCGATCTGATTGGCTTAAGGACAGTAGGCGTTGGTGCCTCCTCTGGCGCTTTGATAAAGCACTGCTGACTATTGTCTTTTTCAAAAACATATTAGCAGCACTGACTAATTATACTGTAACATGGGCGCCGGCAGGATTGTTTGCAGGGGGGTGCACCCATACATTATAGGATATAGTATATTTGCTCCATTTTCGAATTGAATCTGGGGATGAAATTTTAAAAAATCATTTAGAGTCAGGAGCACGAAACTCTGTATATATCGCATCAAATTCAAAATGAATTGATTGAAATTTGTTCTGATATTCTGAAGAGCAAAATAATTGAGGAGGTGAATCAGGCACCCGTTTTTTAGGTGTTGGCTGATGAGACTGCTAATATTAGTGGCACAGAACAATTATTATCGATTGGAGTTCGGTATTTGCGTTGTGATCAAGACAATAAAAATCCAATACTTTGCGAAGAATTTTTAGGATATGTGCCGCTGCAAGAATTAAAAGCGGAAGCCATTTCAAAAACTATTATCCAGTGCCAAGAAGATTGCAATTTGGATTTAAATTAAAGTGTGTATTTTATACTAAGCCGGGGGGGGTGCAAGTGCACCTCCTTGAACCCCCCTGCCGGCGCCCATGTACTGTAGATATACGTCTATCTGAGGCATGCCTCCGTCTGAAGCTGGCCTACGGTGTGATCAGAGAACATAGAGAAGCGACATAGAGGCTGATTTTGCAAAACCACCCTTATTGACATTGGAGTCCTCAACCGCCAAAGGCAAGCGCCAAATTTAAATAGTCGATGCCAATAAAAACCTTGCTTCACTATAATTGTAATTCGTGTGACATGAATGAAAGTGAAGGAAACAGTAAGCAGCTTGTAATATTCTGGTAAATCTAGTGTCAATTTGTCGAAAATAAAACGCGTCGTTATAGTTATTTATGTACCAAGGGCACAAAGAAGATGTTTATATTCGAGGGCAACGTTTACAAAATCGAGGGCCTCTGGCCCGAGATTTTGTAAGTTGCCCGAGATTTATAAACATCAAGTTGTGCCCGTGGTGCATACAAACTTTTATTTTTCACGAGAAAATCTAAAAAAAAGACTACTTTATATAATTGATTCGTAAAAAAAAAATTTACGTGGCGTTGATTTTGTTGTCAAGGAGATTCTATGTTTATTGCAAACACGGCGTCTATTCACGGTGTCAACACGTATATTTTCGACCGCGGAAATGAATGAGGAAAATTGTGAAATTCCAGAAAAAAATGTG